CTTCCTTATAAAAACCAGCCTCTCTCTTATGGTGATAGACATAATCTCATGGGGAAACTGGGCACGGTGACACAGTGTAGTCTCCTCCTCTCAGTCTCCTATCTCTCCAGCCCCCAGGTACAAGTTCACTCTTGCAGATCCCTTCCCCACTTTTAGCAAGAAATGAAGGTATATATTATTAGAAAAAGTCATCTGATGGAAAGAAAGGTCTCAAAAAGGACGCGCAATCAAAAACTAAAAAGGCACCAGGAAACAAACCCACTTCTCTCTGCTCACCTGTTGTCTGTATTGGTTTTCATTAGGTGCACACAGAGAAAAGGATACCTGCTTCCTAGTCTGTCATGAAGGCACATCTGCTCCCCTGAGGAGTTGTGAGAGCTTAAATTTGATGTCCAAATACAGCAATACTTAGGAAGGAAGTGACTATGAAATATCTTTGTTCTGGCCTCTAATAGAGACATACCAGGTATAGTTGACATGTGGAGAGACTAATTTTTAGAACATCCCTCCTACTACATAGCAAAATATTTTTAGTAGTAATTATGAAGTGTAATAAATAATAATGGCTAGAAAATTTTGCAGCCAGTGGAAAAATTATTAGTCCTTGTACATATAATCAGGCCACTGAAAGTTAATAGTAAGCAAATATATATATATAAACTAAAATAAATATTGCCCTGGCCAGTTGGGATCAGTTGATTGGGCATTGTCCCACAAACGAAAAGGTTACAGGTCCAATTCGCAGTCCAGGCGCATGCCTGGTTTGTGGGTTTGGTCCACAGTCACATACAAAAGGCAAACAGTTGATGTTCTTTCTCATATTGATGTTTTGTTCCCTTTCTCCCTCCCTTCCCCTCTCTCTGGAGTCAATGAGCATGCTCTTAGATGAGGATAAAAAAGCTAATAAAAATAAACTAAAATAAAATAAATATCAGTCTACAAAAGAGAAAAAGTAATGAATCAACACTTTTAAACTACAATAGCACATAGTTTGAAAAAGTGATAAAACATTTATACCTACAAATCCCTCTGTTTCAGTGAAGAGCAATAATACTATTTTCTGGTTTTGAATCTTAACTTCTGCAAATGTATAATGACATTGCAGTAATTTATCTTTCTTCTATTCATGTTCAACAGATGATGGAGCCAGATTTATTAGTCTATTATCTTTGTTTATAGTTGATAAAATTATTTTTTGTTAACTCTAATTTCTAAAATTTATCTTACACTAAACAGCAGATAAACAGAGTTGAGAAATTTCTCAAACATGCAGCAAAGTCTGGCAGAGATTCATGAAAAGCTGTTTCACAATTAATTCCTGAAATTGCAAGCCCATTGAAACAATCTTTAAAATTTATCCGAGTAATGTTTGGATGTCTCTGCAACCAAATGTTTTAAAAAAATAACATTGCCAAGTGGTGACTTTGACAAAATTTAAGCAACTCAAGTTGCTTCTTCACTTTTATAATCAATGTAGAATCATTTTTTAACTTAAGCCTACTGTTAAAATGTAGGAATATACAATACTCAGGGTCATATTCATAAACTGGAAATAAAGGGAGTTTGAACAAATTTTAATTCTTAAAAATTTATTTAGAAACAAACACACCTAGTTGAATCTACTTGTTTTGAGGACCACTACTTAAGGGAGAAGTTTTAAAATTAAATTCCACTTAAAGTACAATGTTAATGAAAGATAAGAGGTAAAAAAAATGTGCTAAATCAAACACACATACAACTCAATAGTAACAAGAAGGCTAGCTTAGACTATGAGGAAGAAACAAATTTTCCTCTACCCTTTTAGGTTCTTTCAGCTATTCTAATAATCAAGTTGACAGGAGACACTTAACAAGAAAAACTAACCAACTTTACATGTATATGCATGGTAACCTTACATCCATGAGAGGTCAAAGACAGAAAGAGAAAAGGAGGGATATATGACATTCTGAGCTAAGGATGAGGTAAGACACCTCGGGACTTCAGGAGAGAGGAGGGTCATTTGCAAGATGAAAAAAAAAACAACAACAAAAGAACAGGTACTCAGTAATTAGTAGCTTGCCCTGCCCTATAAGATAGGTCATAAAAAGTTATTTCTGGTGGTAACTTTTATTATGGGCAAAGCTCCAAATTTAAATTCTTTAAGGGAGAGTTAGAAGTTTCTTTTGAGTCCTCAGGGGCTCTCTTGCCTTCAGGACTAAATAATCTACAAGCCTGTTCTGAACCCATTCAAGGCTTTAGGAAAACAAATATTTGGGGAAAGGGAGAGCCTTTTGTCACAGAGATTGTTAGAATTCTGGCTTATAATGATAATAATAATAAATAAAATGATATTAGTTTTTCTTATTATAATATTTTATTTCTAAAGGTGATGTGCCCCTATTGCCTTAACTGCGGGGGAACCTCTTCCTTTGTGAACCAAGTTGCCCTTTGTTTCTTATTCTGACTAGATGTCACCTGTGGGGGATGATACAGTCAGTTAACACAAACATGTTGCTTTGGAGCCCCAGTCTGAGTGAGAGGACAGTAAGCAGAACCTTCTACCTTAGTCGGGGCTGCACCAATGGGATCTCTCACAGTAGTTTGTGGTTGACTTAAGGGAAGAATATATTAGACTTATTATCTACAAGGAATTTTTCTCAATGTTTCAAGATTTCAGCTATGCTCATTAATAACTTGTGATCTTTTTTTCCATAACAAACATACATTTCTTCTGTTTAGTTTATACTTAGTTACCTTAGAGCTGTATTGCTATTTAAGAACTTATTTAATCATTAAAAATTTTTGTTATTTCTACTGTCTAAGAAGCCCATTCCTGTGTCTGTGTTGGCTTTCTCTCCAACAAACATGCTGATCTCTTTTTTGGTTATAAAGTTTCTAATTCTTTTGGATTATCGATATTGAATACTACTACTGTATATGGATGTAACACATCCAATGCTATTGACTTGGCTAAAACAGAGAGCACAGTATTATTTAGAGGCATTTATTGTTGATTTAATAGGAGTGCTAAAGAATGCCACCATTGAGTATAATAAGTGCTGTTGGTAGAGATTTTTTAATATCACATTATAACCTCTCCCTTCTATTCACCATTAGTTAAGATTTTTAAAAATCATAAATGGGTGTTGAATTTTTCAAATGCTTTTGAATATCTCTTTAAAAAGACCATGTTTCTTTTCTCCTTTAACCTATGGCAAGTAATATAAATAAATCTGATGATGATGAATCACCTTGGATTCCTAAAATATGCTACTTAGTCATGATATATTTAGCATTATGCTACAATATATTTCCTAGAATTTTATTTAGGAATTTTGTATCTATGTTAATAACTAATATTTGCCTATAGTTGTCCTATTGCATAGTCTCGTGGGTGTCCGACCTTTTGGCATCTCTGCACCATACTGGGAAAGAGTTGTCTTGGGCCACACATTAAATACATTGCAACATGTAATCAGTATAAAAAGCTCATAACGTTTTAAGTAAATTTACGATTTTGTGTTGGGTCCACATCCTGGGCTGAACGTGGCCCATGGGCCTCAGGTTGGACACTCCCTTACAACCAAGTTATACATTCTTGATAATTGATTCAGATGTATGCTACTTTCTTAATTCTAAGTTTAAATAAGAGAGAGATTGCCTTTGCCTTAAAGTTGTGTTCAAACTTATTGGTAACACTATATATTTTTCTGTTGTTTTATTTTAAAGAAAATATCTTATTACTGTTTCATATATATAAATATTTATTTTTTTTGTTTTTTTTTAACCCAAGGATATGTTTTTATTGATTTTAGAGAGAGAGAAAGGGAGAAAGAAAAAGAGAGAGAGAAAGGGAGAGAGAGAGAGGAGAGAGAGAAAAAGAAAGAAACTTGATGTGAGAGAGAAACATCAATTGGTTGCCTCCCATATGCAGTCCTACCAGGAATCAGACCTGAGACCCTGGTATGTGCTCTGACAAGGGATCAAACATGCAAACTTTAAGTGTGTGGATGATGCTACAACCAACGAAGCCACCCAGCCAGGACTAAATATTTATAATTGTATTAACAATTTCTAGTCCTCTTCAGGTCAATTTTGGAAATTATTATTTTGTTAGACAATATATTATTTCATGTAAGTTTTTAAAATTATCATGTTTATTATATCCTCTTATATTTTAAAAATATTCTACTACTTTTGTTCCACATTTCCTTGTTAGTACTTAATATTGTTTGTTTATATGTCTTCCCATGATTCATCTAGGTAGAAGTGTATGTATTTTTATTTAAACTTACAAAGAATCCATTTATAGTTTTGATGTTCCTTTTTATTGATTCTGTTTTTGAGTTTATTAATTTCCACACATCCTTAGTATTAAATTTTTCTTACTCTTTTAAACTACGCTCTGTTATTTTCCCAGCTTCTTGTCAATGCACGCCTCCTTCAAAGCTGTGTATTTACCTTTTAAAGACTTTAACTGCATCCCAAGAGTTCTTATTTAGCATTTTCATTTTCATTCATAACTATTTGGTAATTTCCATTTTGATATTCTCTTTAACTTATGAATTATTTAGTAATGTTTCTGTAAGTTTGCAAACATTTGTGTTTGGGAAAAACCTTAACTGTTGATTTCAAATTTAATTGATTTATAGTCAGACGATAAGGTATACATGCTATCAATTATTCAAAATAGCATGAGATTTCCTTCAAAATCTACTGTGTTATCTATTTATTTAAGCTCTGCATATGTACACATATGTTGATTAATGTTGTTAACTCTGGTAATCAAGTCTTCTATTTCCTTTTTGAATTGTTTCTAACTGGAACTCTCAGTTTACAATAAAAATGAATTTAAAAACCTCTGAGTGAAAATGTCAATTTACTAAATCATTGTAAAATAATCCTGACAGTTTTGCTTAATGAATTCGAAGGCAATATTGTCAGTTTACAATACATTTTTGTGCATTTCCTTTTTTGTTATTATATAATGTGATTTATTCACTTTAAAAAATTCTACTTTAGTGCCCGCTTCAGCAGCACATAGGCTAGAATTGGAATGATACAGAGAAGACGAGCACGGCCCCTGAGCGAGGATGACATGCAAATTCTTGAAGCGTTCCATATTTCTAGTACACACATATACAAAAAATAAAAATAAATAAAAAATAAAAAACTCTACTGTAAGTTTCCTTTTGTATGTTATTACAATTTTTACATCAACATTCTTAGGTCAATGTTTTATAGGTCGCTCTTTTTATCCTCGAGTTAAGCATTTTTATGTACTTTTTTTTCAGGCACGACATGTACGTACTATGTGGCATGCTACTTAAATCATTTGGAAGGAATAAATAAATTAACATCATCTTACCCATTGTTATTATTGATGTATTTTAGTTTATTTGTACTAGTATGTGGTGTGTTTTCTATTTTTTAATTATTTTTCTTAGCATAACTTCTCTTACTTTTTTCTTTCTTATAGATCAATTAAGTTTTCATTGTATTCTAATCTTTTTAAAATCCTCTTTTGGTTTAGGAACAATAAATTATATTTCTAGTTAGTTAGGAAATTTCCTTGATTACTTAGCACAAAATTCACAAAATGTTTAACATAGATTTTTCATAACATATTTGTAAAAATTTATATTCCTTTATCTGAACACAACAAGGAACATAAGCACGTTTTACCTTCCCATTGAAAACTTTCCTTTCTATTGTTTCATTGTTTTCTGTAAACTTAGTTTTAAATTTCCAATACATGACTCATTATTATTCATTTTATAGTCTTAGTTTAATGAATCACATAACTGAATTATAAGTCTTTGCTTTTGTTCTTTCCTGTATCCCATAACATTCCAAATGATTTCTTTCCTTTTTCATTAAAGTAACTACTTCAGTGGGGTTTTTTTTCCCCTGAAGACATGAGAAAAATAAGCTCTGTTTTCCCAATGTCTCTATGTCTTTATTTTCATTCATTTTTAACTATGCATTGTTTTAGAGAACATCCTTTCAGGTTAAATTAACTCTTTCTGATTATATGGGTGAATTTGAGCCTTTTGCTAACTTTAACGTATAACTTTGCAAATTTTATATAATTGATAGCAATGTAAAATAACTCTGTTTCTCTAGATGCAAACTCTATCCAGAGATTCAATGAATGTCCCTTCTTCCTGGTAGAAGAAGATAGTTATGCTATCATTTGCACTGTCTTTTCAATATTCATGATCTATAAATATGTCTGCTCTTATTATTCTTTGAACTGCTTGTAACATCTTATTGATTACCTGATTAATAATAAGTAAAATACCATCTTTAACACATGGCTATTTTATATCTCTATGAAAATCATATATTTACCTTTATTTTTAAAATCCTTTAACAGGTGTTAAAGTTTGTCATAAATAATCATGTTTGGGCATATTAAGTTTTAAGTGTCTATTAGACAACTGAGAGGGGATGTTGAGTGAACAGTTGGATTGGTAAGTCTTGTTTGGGAGAAAGGTCTGGACTGCCGCTATGTATTTGGAAACAGTAAGCCTCTAGATGATATTTAAATTTGTGTGGATGAATCCACCAAAGGAGTGAATGTAAATGGATAAGTGAACTAAGGATTAAATGCTACCATTGCTGTGGTAATAGACTAGCATTTTAAATATATTTAATTTAAAATATTACAGAGTATCAAGTCAGATATATTTACTCTCTTATCACTTCACATTTAAAATTGTATGCAGCCATCGAAGACAGTATATATTTCTTGAGTGCACCTTTACATTCATTTTATTATTTATTCGCTCTTATATTCTATCAATATTTATTGAATTAAATGCCATCTGTTTCTGTTCCAACTCTAATCATGTCACCCAAGAATTTATAATTAGACTTGTTGACACATAATTGGGTTTATTTGCTTCTCTGCTTTACTCTGGTATTTTGCAGATAATTGTGGCTCACATAATGAAAGTTTGACTTTCTCTTAAGAAGACTGTTTCATTCAGCAGTACGTCCATATATCCAAAATCCTTACTTATATAGGCAGTTTCTCCAAATTATTCATTGACCAAATTCCACATATTACACATCCTTTTGTCACTAATTTTTATTACTTTTTTTGGATGAAACAAATATTTATGAATTTACACACCAGTTTAGTGACTAGAATATACTTTGAAAAGTAACCAGGAGTTTAATTGAAATGTTAATGCTCAGTTGTTTTACATCTTAAATGGTAAATAAATATTTATCTTAAACTCCAAAAAAAAAATAAATAAAAAAATATAAAGTAATTATTAATTAACAAAAAAAAAAAAGAAGACTGTTTCATATATTACATTGTCTTTTGGCATGTGGTTCTCTCAGATACCCTCTATTAGCCTAATTCAATTATATAGCAAAAAGTTATTATCCCAAGTGTCTTTTAACTTAATAATTATACATATAGATTTTTTTATATCCTATCAAGCTGTTTTTTTTAATATGCTTTCATAAGCCTTCTTGATCCAAGTATCCTAGATTCAATCATTGTGTAAAGGAAAAAGCAATAGATAACTTGCACTTTCTTTTAGGTCAACGATAAGAAGAAAAATAAAATAGTCAAAATCATTTCTAACTATAATATTCTAAAATAATGAAGAAAGTAATCTACCTATGTTATTCAATTTATTAGGTCACTAGGCAAATATCACTGCCCAAAAGCTCCCGTTTCAGTGATCTTTCCTTAAATAACTATATTGGCTTGAGAATACACAGTCTTTAAGAGAATCCACTGAAAAGGGCTATCTCACAAATGTTTATTATGTAAATTTGCATAAATCACATCATCAGTTTACACATTAGCACCAGTCATGTCCCACTTGGTAAAATCTAATAGGAACAAATTCAGGAAGATTCTTGTTCAAATAATAAGAAGTAAAAAAAAATCCCAATGGGGAGCCCATATAAAATCCTCAAAGTTCTCCTAAAGAATATATCCAAAGTACTGGGTAAGAATAAAGCTGACAATCTGATGCATGAAATATTTTAGAAATAGAAATACACATTTAAAAACAAGGCATTATCATTTATTAAGAGCAAGAAAAGGGAGCTACTGAGAAAATATGATTACAGATATGAAGTTTGGGACAAATCATCCTTATGTCAAATTAAATAATATTTACTGTGTTTCATGCTGTCTTTTGTTGATGAGATAAACTTGAAAGCAAATATTTATCTTTTTGATCAATTCCTATTTTACATAGCTCTTTGTGGGTCCTACAATATGAATTTTCAGCTTTCATTCATTGAGTTTTTATCCCAACTCCAATTGTCCTTAAGGGTGCATTTTAAGACTTGCTGCTTGCCCTTAATTGATGAAACCAAGGAAGTCATGCAACCTATTAAGAGAATGATAAAAATTTGGAGAATTCTCCACTGTTGTTTCGGGCCTCTGAGCCTTTGATCATACTATGCCCTCTTTTTGAAATGTCTTTTCTTAAGTTCTTTATTTAACTAATAATATTCTTAATTTTTATTCACTTCACTTGTTCCTTACTTCAAGTATTATTTCTTTACTACCTTGGTTTGAGTCCATCACTCTCTTTTCCTTCCAACAACAGTTTCTACATTCTTCCAACACTACCTGGATCTTTGTCCTGTTGCTCACCAGAGTGTGAGCTGTAAACCCGCTGTGAACATGTCATTCATTTTGGCCATTAGGCATCAGACAAGCTTCTCTGAGGAATTCACTATCTTATGAGGCTTGGAGGAAGAAAATATAATGACAAAAGCTAAAAATGCTGGATTATATACTTTTCTACTTCCCTTACATTTGTTGCCTGGGCAAGTGGGAAATCCCTCCAATCAGACACATGACCAAGACCTCGACTCAAGAGCTCAAAACTCCAGAATTCAAAACTTTGACTGAGGAGCTCAAGACTGACTCAGAACTCAGGACCTGATGGAGCTCTCTTCCTATCTCTGAAAATTAACAGATTCAGAGACTTAAAGGCATAGTTAGTTCCTAGCCCATAAAGGACACGGGAACATACTTTAGCATCTAGTTATACTTCCAGCTGTTATAGCTGAGCCCATTCTCCAGCTTGCTCAACAGTTCTATGAGCTATCTAAAAAATTTCTAACAAACTCCTTTTCATCATAATCAGTCAAATCTGCTGGCTTCCTAGGGCCAAATACAGGGTGGGGCAAAAGTAGGTTTACAGTTTTTCACATGGAAAATAATACAAGAATTAATAAACAATAATATAAGAATAAACTCTGTTTTACATATTCACAACTATAAACCTACTTTTACTGCAACCTGTATTATATATTTTTCCCCCACAGGGTGTCTTTCTACGTGTCTTTTAGGTGATAGTAGACTTATACTGTGTACTTGCAAGGCAGTGATAGAGCAGTGTTGGGAAGGAGGAGCAGGAAAGCAAGGACCTGTAACCTAGATTACCCTATCCAGCAAAGCTATCATTTAGGATTGAAGGCCAGATAAACTGCTTCCCAGACAAGGTAAAACTAAAGGAGTTCATCATCACCAAGCTGTTATTACATGAAATGTTAAAGTGAATTATATAAGAAAAAGAAGAAGATCCAAAAGATGAACATTAAAATGATAATAAATTCACAACTATCAATAATTGAATCCAAATAACAAACAAAGCAAACAAGCAAAACAGGGGGAGAATCATAAAAATGTAGATCATTTGGGGGGTTATCAGTTGGAGGGGGAAGGGAGAAAATGGAGAGAAAGCTGCACAGATTAAGAAGCACAAATTGGCAGGTACAAAGTAGACAGGGGGATGTTAAAAATAGTATAGGTGATGGAGTAGCCAAAGAACGTATGTGTATGACTCATGGACATGAGCTAATATAGGGGGATTGCTGGAGTAAATGGGATAGCAGGTGGAGGGGGCAAAGGGGGAACATTTGGGATAACTGCAATAGCATAATCAATAAAATATACTTTCAAAAAAGAAATAAAAGGGCGCTGTAAACAACCATCAGCTCCAGTTGCAAAATAAATACATAAATAAAAAATAAATTTCAGCTTTCTCATCTGAAAAAAAAAGAAGAAAGGAAAAAAGTTCCAAGTGGCAATTTGTTTCTGATAAGGTCACCCATGAGGTCCTCGGTTCCCCAACT